GCACGGGGGAGAACCTCAAGGAGGCCCAGGCCATCAACAAGAGCCTCTCAGCACTGGGTGAGGGCACCACCATGCGGACCAACGCCAACACCCAGGGGACAGGGTCCGGGGCTTTGGGCTGCCAGCCGGGAGGGCGGGGGCCGTTGAGGGTCCACAGGGCCGCCTCAAGCTTGACCGCTTGTGGCCCACGCAGGCAGCACTGAAAGCCTGCACAGAGCCCAGCGCGCCACGCCTGCAGTGGACCTGTGCAGCTGTAGTTTTGCAGCATCCTCTTGCATCACCGCCCTCTGACCGTCAGAAACACATGCACTCTTTGACGCCACCCCCCCCCCCATCCAGGTGACGTCATCAGCGCCCTGGCCACCGAGCAGCCGCACATCCCCTACCGCAACCACAAGCTCACCATGCTCATGAGTGACAGCCTGGGGGGCAACGCCAAGACGCTCATGTTTGTCAACGTCTCCCCCAGGTGGGTGTGACGGGGGAGAAGGGCGGGTGGGGTGTTCGGCTTGGTGTGGTGGAACAGCACGGCCCCACCCTGGATTGAGACCAGGAACAGGGGCAGGAGCACCTGTCCTTCCCTTCTGCAAGGCATCGTGTCGGCTCTCTCATAGTTGTATGGACTCGGGGTTCATCAACCTCCGACCATCGCCCCCTCGCGCATCGGCCCCCGCGTCTTCCAGTGATGCCAACATCGACGAGAGCCAGAACAGCCTCACCTACGCCACGCGCGTGCGCACCATCAAGAACGACGCGCGCAAGTGAGCCCGCGGCGGGGTGGGGGCGGGGTCTGCTGGACTGGCGGGGCGGCGGCCACGCAGCGGTCAGCACGCCTTACCACCCCGCTCACAGGGAGCAACCTCCTGCTCGGCCTGCTCTCGCCCTCCCCTGGCGCCCTTTTGGGATGCAGTAGCTCACTGTGGCCAGCCCACCCTCACTTCTACAAGCTGTCCCAGCCGCTGCACACTTGCAACCCCTGCTGCGGCGCCCTCATCCCGACATGTCCCCCCCACTCGTGCGAACACCCATACCGCCCAAAGGGACGAGAGCAACCGCGAGGTGCTGCGGCTGCGCAAGCAGGTGGACTACTGGAAGGAGCAGGCCGGGCTCACCACCGCGGAAGCGCGCGCCACGGCGGACCTGCGGGAGATTGTGGACCGCAGGCCCACCCCGGGGCCGGACGGGGCGGACGCACAGGAGCAGGGCGCCACCACGCCGCGGGCGGCGGCCGGGCCCGCGGGCGGCCGGCAGACGTCGCAGCTATCACTGGCATCGGCGGCCGCGGCGATGGCTGGGTGCGGGGAGGACGGCAGCGTGGCTGGCGGGTGCGGGGCGAGCACGGGCGGCTGGTCGGAGGTGGAGGGCGCCGCGGGGGAGGAGGCAGAGCAGTAGCGGCGGCGTTTTGGCGGGGCCAGAGCCAGCGGCAGCGGCAGCAGCAGCAGCGGCAGCAGCAGCATTGCATTCTGCGCAGCTGTCAGGTGCTTGGGCCACGCAGCCGCTGTGCTGTGATTAGACAGCATGACCAAAGATTTTTATTTACTGATTTTGTTGGTCATGGCCAATGACCCTCTCATACTTTTTGGGGGATCTGACCACACTGGGATCGGGGAAGGTACGTATGACACGTGTCCCACAGCCCCCCCAGCACCACCCATTACAACACACTTGCTTGTCCGACAGCGCTCGATGTGGTGTGTTTGTGGACAGGGCCTCCACCTCGATGCAGGCGGGGGAGCTTGTGTTCGTGCAAGTGTCTTTTAGGGTTGCTATGCAACCCAAAGTATGGGGCATGCGGCGTTGCAGCACTTCTGCGGGTGGCGGCATGTAATTTGCTGCTGGAGCCTCATGTGTCAGCTCCTGTCGCAGTTTGGGGGGCGTGCAGCTTTCAAAAAGTAAAACACTGGGGATTCCCATAAGAAGGGGGGAACCTTGGGTTTTGGCTGCTGCTTGGCAACCCCTACCTATCCGTCTCTTATGGTGACGCAGAGGGCTGAAGACTGCGGGGTTTTCCAAGGGCATACATAATCCCGCACATCTTCTGTGCACGTGCACCATGCGCGCGGCGTGCTCGTCCTGCAGGTGCTTCCCTGCTTTCCGCGCAGCTGCTGCTTGTCCTGTTGCCATA